GAGAGGAGCAGGCCTTGGGGATGGAGAAAATGATTATACCTTTGTGGTTTATTGTTATTTTGTAGGCTCTCTCAGATTGTGGATCACAAATGTCTTTCTATCCTTAGGCAGACTGTGAGGTTCTGAGGGGTAGGGTAGGTTAGATTCAGGGGCTGGGGCTAGTCCTTGAGGGTGAGGGGAGGGCCTGGAGAAGCTGGGAAGCAGTGGGCTTGGCAGGAGAGGGGGTGACATATGTGGGGAGCCCTGGGGACCCAACCAGGCAAATGGCTGGCAGGGAGAGCAGACAGTGTTAACTCTTGCTGTGCCGCACTGCCTGACCCTTCTCTGAGAGTGGCTGTGGTTGAGGTGTTATTGTGTCAGCTGCTGGAGGTGTGCTGGGTCACAGGGGCCAAGGCAAGCAAAAGAGCCCAGAGCAGGAGCTGCTGTCACTTGGAAATGGCAGCAGGCAATGCTTTATGTGTCTTCATCTTGGCTTCCACATGGTCTCTGTCAGTCCGTCTTTCCATCTCCACCTCTCTGTGCCTCTAGAAGGTGACAGCGGGTCTCCACTCTGGCTAACTACACAATCTGTCACTCTCTGCGCTGCCAGCCCAGCTGGAAGCCCCCCTTCTCAGCACCCAGCCCAAGCCCTCTGCCCCTGGCCCCTAGGCCTTATCGCCTTTGTCTCTTAAGGCGGCCGCCCCTTTCTTCCTTCTCTTCACTCACCTCAGAGCCCATCTCCAATCTCATTACAGCCTCAGCCTCCAACCACTGTACCCCCACCCCCAGCCTCTTCCCTTCCCTCCCCCACCCATCTGTCTTCCCTGAAGCTCTCCTCTTTGTGTTGTCCCATCTGTCACCACCAGCACTGGATCTACTCCCCTCCTGGCCACACCCGCCTGGCCTTTCTCCCCTTGGGCTCAGTTCCCTCTCCCACCCCTTCCTCCTTCAACCCTGCTAAGAACCCAACTTCCTCTGTTTCCTTTCACAATCTTGTTTTTGTTTTTGTTTTTTCCTTTTCAGGATGTCCCCTCTCACTTCAGGTTTTAGTTCCAGCCCTCTAGTATCTCGGACTTATGAGTTGGGGGAAGAGGGAGGACTCCAGGGTCCCAGCCCCTAAGCCCTGAGCAACCACTCAGTTGGGACAGAGGATGGTAATGTTGGCTCACAGTTGCATCATCTCAGTGAATGACTTCTCCTAGGCCCCCTGAGATGACCCTCCACTCTTGCTCCATGTTTCTCTGTTTGGGCCCAGGGCTTACAGTGCCCTTCTGTACCACAGGAGTGTGAGGCTCCTGTACCTTCTAAATCTGAATTCATGAGAAACAAAAAATGTATCCAGAAGCCCACTGGGACCCCTGGCCTCCCAAGTGCTCCTGATTCTCCAGCATTTCTCTTTTATTTGTTGTTTATTTATTTATTGGCTTTTTGAGACGGGGTTTCTCTGTGTAACAGCCTTGACTATTCCTGGAAAATTCTGTAGATCAGGCTGGCCTCAAACTCACAGAGATCCACCTGCCTCTACCTCCACCACTGCCCAGCTTTTTTTATTTATTTTTATGATTACAGTCTCCTTTTATTTCTCCTATTTCTTTATTGTCCTTTCTTCCTTTTCTCCTTCCTTCTTTTTTTATTTCTTTTGAAGAAATGATGCCATATTTATCAAATTTCTACTGTTCCTGGCCTAGGGGACAACAGTGTCCCTTTCTAGAGTTGATCCTTGTGCTATCTTGAGAGTTCATGAATTGATCATTTTTTTCAAATGGTCCTTGCCTGGAGGAGCTTAGGGAGAAGAAAGAGGAGGCCGGAACCCCAGTTGTTCTTTCACAGAACCAGACAGCCAGTGCGGACTAGAGAGAGCAGCCCCTTGTCAAAGACTAGACTCTAGAAAGAACACTGGAGCCCAGAGAGGGGCAATGTCCCTCCCAGTGTCACACAAGCAGCAGACCAAAATTCTGGTCATGAGCCCTTCCCACCACGTGAAACTCTTCTCCACTGACCTTTGCCTGAAGGAATCCATTGTCCTCTGAACTTGGGTAGAACCTGGCTAAGACCGATCTAGTATGGAGCATGCACAGCCTTGCTGGGTTAGCTTGTGTTTCATCCCTTCCCTCCATCCAAACTTTGGAATCTTAAAGAAAGGACACTGTATGTATCTCTTATGCTTTTACCATGCAGGGACAAACCGCCTTTCCTGTGGCCATGCTCAGTAAATGTTTAGTACTGCTACTGCTGTTGGCAGAGATATATGTTTTTGTCTCATCTGTCTCTCCTTTATTATATGTCCCTACATAAGCAGCATCACTTCTCTGGGCTACTTTCCCCCATTTATCAAATCAAATGAGCAGAGGCTCTCCTCTAGACATGGGTGGGACATGCCTGTAATTCCAGCAGTCAAGATACTGAGTAGGAATGACTGAGTTTGAGGCTAACCTAGGCTTCCTAGAAAGACTTTGTCTCAAAAAGAGAAGGAGGAGGAGAAGAGGAGGAGGAGAAGAAGAAGAAGAAGCACATTATTTCTAAGGTCTTGGAAATTATAAGTCCCTAGATGTAAAGAGTATGAGAAATGCAATGGGGAAGATGACACTTGTATGAAAATGCCATAATAAAACCCATTGCTTTGTATGCTAACTTAAAAAAAAATGTTGGCAGGGCTGGAGAGATAGCTCAGTGGTTAAGAGCACCGGCTGCTCTTCCAGAGGACCGAGGTTCAATTCCCAGCACCCACATAGCAGCTCATAACTGCCTGTACCTCCTGGAATAGGAGATCCAACACCCTCACAAGGATGCAGGCAAAACACCAATGTATATAAAATATAAATAAATTAAAAAATAGTAAAATGAAAGCAAAAAAGTTGGCTGTGGCACACTCCTTAAATCCTACCAATCAAAAGGCAGAGAGAGGCTGGTAGATCTCTGTGAGTTTGAGGTCAGCAAGTGCCAGGCTAGTCAGGACTACATAGTGAAACCCTACCTCAAAATTAATTAATTTCTCTCAAAGGCACAAGGTTCTGCTGAGTAATGTGGGGTTTTGGAGCACCAGAATACAGATTTTTTAAAAAAAACTCTTGGACCAAAGAGATGACTTAGTAAATAAAAGTACTTGTATGTAAGCCTGACAACCTGAGTTTGATTCTTGGGTCCAAGAATGATAGGAAGGAACAGAGTCCCCATAGGTGTCCTCTGACTACACACATGCTATGGCACGTGCGCGCACGCACACACACACACACACACACACACACACACACACACACACATACGCACACACGCATGCACGCACAAGTAAATACCTCTTCCTAGAATGTACCTTTGGGCAGCAACCATGATGTTCCAAAGAGAAAAATAATCCCCTTCATTCAAATAGTCTGGTAGAGACACCAGCTGGAGGAAAGTCTCCCGATACTGTGTCACAGTGGGCACTCAGGCTGGTATCAAGGCATAGGGGGTCATTCACTCAACTTCCTATGTTGGCTGGAAGAGCAGGGCCAATATGAACTGACCACAGTAGCAAAGGAGAGAGGCCCTCAGGGGGCTAGAAAACGGCACATTTCAGAAGGCTAGGGCCTATCTAGGGGACAAAGGAAAACTAAGGGATTACAAAGTGTTGTGGCTCCTAAAATGATGCAGGCCAGTTGGTCTTCGGAGCCACCACACTGGTCTGAGAGGGAGACACTGAAGGTCAGACTCAGTGGCTATACACCCTCCATGGTGGCTGGCCTCCACAAAGACCATGAAGAAGTGGGTTCTACTGTTGCTGTCATGGAGTGGGGGTGGGTGGGTGGGGAGTGGTGCAATATGAGCCAAGACAGGAAAGAGACAGAAGATGAGCTTCTATTCTGTGTTGCCCCCTAAGAATAGGAAGCATCTTGTCCTCTTCTTTTTCATGCACCCCAGTCCCTTGACTCTGCCCAAGCCTCTGTTTCATCTCTCCGTTTAGCCCCCTCTCTGGTACTCAGCCATGTCCCTGCTTCCTGAAGCTGCCAGCAGGATGAGGGAGTTTACTGCTCTGCCGCTGGGAGACCTGTTGGCCAAGGGAGGCATGGAGCGGGCCCAGACGATGGCGATGGCGGCAGCTGTGCTCAGCTCCCACCAGTGCCAGCACAGCACACAGCTTATCCAGCTCCAACTGGGGGCTGGCAGGGGAGCAGCAGGGTACATTTCCTATCTCAGAACCCTAAACATGACTCCTCCAGGGAGCCTGGAGACAAACCTGGAGAAAAAGCATCTCCTCTCAGCAGGATGCTCGAAAAGGTAAACAGCTCAACCAAGGAACAGTGTCTGCACTGGATACCAGTTTCCCATCTCTGCTGGTCTTTAGGCGTGTGTGAGCAATAGTCTCCTGGCCAGCAACAAGGAGAGAAAGCCCCACTTAGGCTTCCTCCCCTGCTGGCTCCCTTCTCCCACCCTCCGCTGACTCAGCCACTGCCCACGATCACTTGCAGCTCTGCTCTGCTCTACAATTTGGCTTCCATGAAGACACAGGGAGTTTGTCCAAGAGCTCAGGTTCTTTCTGAAGCAGTCCCAAACGACTCCGGTGTTGAGCTACAGAAAGTCTGCCATTACTGGAGGGCCCAAACTCCTTAACAGGCTACCCCAAACCTTGTGCTGTGGCCCCAGCCACACCTCCTGTTTCTCTTCATGTTTCAGGCACACACACGTGCTTTTGCTTGTGGTGGAGTCTCAACCCTGACTCACAGGCATTCCACTGCCCTGTATCCCATCTGCAGCACATCACGCTTCTGTTGGCTACACTAGATATTACACCTGGGTGTAAGTCTGCCTTTGTCTCTCACTCCAACCCTGAGCTCCTGGAGGCTAAGGGCTGCATCTGCTTCATCTCTGTATCTGCTCAGAGTGAATTAACTGAGTAGAAGCTCTGCTCATAGTGTCCTTCTAAGGGGGGCTCGGGGCTGTCAGGGTCCTTCTTCACCTGAGTTTTAACAGTATCTTACTTCTGGTGAGCACTGTTCACCAGGGTCACTGAACATGGTGATCTGGGAAGAATACGAAGCGACAGGTACAAATTGTATGGGATGATTTTAATGAAACTTGCTATTTATATATTTACAAAAAGAAAAAAAAAAGAGAGAGAAAAAAAGAAACCCCAACAAAAATAGATATTACAGTTTAATAATAAAAAGTACAACTGAGCACTGTGGGCTAGAGGTGGGATACCCACCTAACAGCATGCCCACGTTAACATGTCATCTGAGGACCTGGAGAAAGGACAGTGAGAAACACAGCTGGCTCAGCCACAGAACCCACTCTTCTCCCCAAGGGTTCGGGCGGTTTGATCCTGATGCTCAGTCCTTCACATCCTTCTTCCTGGTCCAGAGAGTGGTTGGGTACAGGGGTGGGGGTAGGGTGACAGTGGAACCAGAGACAGGTACAGGGCAGGGTGGAAAGACAGAGGTATCCCAAGAAAAGGCAGATGAGGGTGAGCAACTGGGGAGTTAAAACAGGAGCAGGAAGCTTCTATCATAATCCCCGGTATTAGAGGAGGAGGAACAATTAGGAAAGGGGAGTGGGGAAGGGGAGGCAATTTGTCCATCTCTCCCTGGCTCCACTCACAGTTCCAGTCTAAGACAGACCCAGAGACAGTCCAGTGACAAATTAATGGTCTGTTCCCAGTGGAACAACTGGTCTAGGAAATGAAGTCCAAAGCTGGCAGGGAGAACTGGAGTCCTCTTCAGTAAGACACGGCTCCTGGCTCTCGGGGAGCAACGAAAAGGACATCAGCTTTGGCATTGATGCAGTAAGTGACGATGAGAGAGAAGACCAGGATGCCGAAGCCCACGATCAGGGTGATAAACTGCAAGGGTGAAGGTATGAGCAGGAGAGAAAAGAGTTCTCAGATGCCACAGTCTAAGGGAACTCCGGAGCCAACAATATCAGAATTCTGGCAGTAGACTCAAGTACCAAGAGCAAGGAACAACCAGGGGCAGCATCCTCCCACTGAGCAGACTGAGCTCACCTTAGGTGGAAAGAGCAGTGTCTGTGTTCTTTGTTTAAGTGATCTGATGGTAGGTAGGACCCAAGGCTTTGGTCCTCTGGCATTATACTTGTGCTCATGACTTACTTATAACAGGGGCTCAATAACTATCTGACTGACTCCGCCCAGCTGTACCAGAAAGTAAATGCTAGGCAAGAGTGGGAGGCCCTGCAGACCTTCTTAATTCCAAACAAGGCTCTCCTAAAAGGTACGCATTCCAACTATCAGCACAGAGAGGCCTCCTAATGGGAGGCAATGGCAGATTAGGCACAGATTTGAATTGGTTTTGCTGTAAATCTGGGACAAATGAGAAACAACAGAAAGGAACCTAACAGAACTGAGACAAGAGGTAGTGAAAAGACCCCAAAGAAACTCTTCCACCTCCCTCAGCCCAGTCTCACCTCAAGTTCTTTGCTGGCAACTAGGAATATCCGAGCTTGGATGTCTTTCCAGCGGCTCTCGGCCCATGTGGAATACTCTGTGGAACCCCACTGACTCAGTTCAAAGGCAGGGGACAAGGCTCTGGCCAGTCGTACCGTGGAGCGCACACACCGGGGGAGGCGCTCTGTCTTGTTGGAATTCAAAGGGCCTTGTACCCATGAGTATTCATACAGCTGCACAAGAAGACAGGGCTGAGGTCACATTCTTCTCACTCACTCCTGTTTCCCTATCAGCACCATATGTCAGCCAACTTCATCAACTAGCTGACTCTTCACCTCACAGGTGGCCTAATTTCACTCAGGCTACTGCTTCCTAAACACACAGGCTCACAGAACCATATCCCTTGGCCTTTCCATGCCAATCCCCACATCTGCCCAGCAGATTTCCAACTCTCCCAAGGGAAAGAGGCCCCAGGACACCTCCGACACCCACCGCCACTCACATCCTTGCTTTCGTTTGGGACTTTACTTGGATCCTGGCATTGCTCTCGGGTGAGGTTGGTCGCCTTGCCAGTCAGGTTTGCCAAGGCATACTGCACAACGTAAGTCGTGTTGGTAGGGCTGGAGACAGCGATGTAATGTTGAAGAGGCCCATCATCTGATTGAGGGCCAAAGGGAAAGGAGGATTTGGAAGGCGAGGTCAAGGTGGGCAGAACGAGAAAGAACCCAGAATTCATCAGGAGCCAGATGAGAGCAGGTTAAGAGAAAAGGGCCCAATAAACATCAAGAAAAGGAAAAGAAAACAGTGAGAAAGAAAGCAGAGAAGGGAAAAAAGTGTAAAGATTAAAGCAAAAATGATGCCTTTGCTCCTATTATTTTGTCAGCTAGGGATCCCCCTTACCACGGCAGATGCTTACCCAAATAGGACCTTAGGTCCTGTCTGAGGATAGACTGAAACCATGAGTTGTTGGCTCTAACCAGGAACCCATAGAGCAGGCGTGTAACCTAGGATTGTGACAGAGAAGGAAAAAATGCTGTAACTTGCAGCAAGATCAGGGAAACCATGAGCAGAGACCAGTTATAAGATAGGAACTCTACTGAGGCTGGGAGACAGTGGCCAATTCACAAGGATGTAGATGAAGCCCACTCAAGAACGCTTGAGGGTATCATCGTTGTAGGCTCAATTCCAAAGTTTGGAAAGCTGGCAAGGACCATGGAGAAGGGGAGCAGCCTGTGTTAACAGAAACAGAAAGGACCAGGGGCCCATATTTTCTTACTGTTTGGGGATCAGCCTGAATCGAGTCACTGAAGTTGGTTCCTCCTGCAAGCTCGTATAACGCACGTGCCAGCACCGTGGCCACATTTGCCAGTGCCTGCAGCAGGTGAGGAAAAGGGCTGGATGGCTCACCCGTCTCATGGGGGTTCACTTGTACCGTTCCTGTTGTATTTCCCATGCTCCCACCAGTCCAGGCCAATACTACCTTGGCAGTGTCTGTCACAAAGTTCAGGTCCTCTTCTGGGCTCTGCCACTCAGGATAGGTCACATTAATGTTCTCAGCAGTGTCATAAATGCTCTGGTAATACCTGCCAGAAAAGTCAGTATGAGCCCTGGCTATATAAAGCCAGGTCCTTGTCCTTTTCCTATCGAAATGTCCTTATGTGGGAACTTGCTGTCTTGGTTTTCATCACCCAGTGGGAAATGACAGAGAAGATTAGGCTCCATTATTAAAAAGAGGTATTGGAATTGGGAAAGTAGAGATGACAGTGAGGTAAAGCAATGTGAAGCCTCTGCTGCTGGACAAAGTATAAAAAGTAAGCCAGCCCTAAGCACTGAACACACAGGAGGCTGGCTAGCTTTTCAGAGAACTACTGCCCTGTATGAGTGTTCCCATGAATGCTCAGTGACAGAGGGGAAGCTGTTGGTGCTAGCTAAGATCAGGGATGCTCACAGACAGACACTTTGGATCAGATCGCTGTGATGGTCCTGTGAACTCCAAGGAAACAGATTTTAAAGAGCATCCTTAACCTTCCTACTCAAATGCCCCTTATGCAGTAATAAATTGCAGCCCCATTGAAAGCCAAGTGAATTATTTCTTACCCCAAAGTACCACACACACACACACACACACACACACACACACACACACAAAGAGATTTGGAAAGCTGATAGTAATCTAGATCTGTCACTCCCTTGAGTGAGTGAGAAAAAAAAATGTTTGTTCAGGTCAGAGAATCAAAGTTTAAACATTTTTATTTAAAAACTCATTTGGCCCCAGTGAGGCTGGAGTTAGAGCCAAGTAGCCTGACTGAGAATCCTGTTATCCCTGGCCTCAAGTTAGGAGCATGGTCAGGATTTCTAGAACCAGTAGAGAGGTAACATGGTGCCTTCCTATCTTCAGAGTCCCTTGGTATACTAAGCCACATGCACCTACCACGTGGTGACAACATGTTACATTTCAGAGTAAGAACGCTGCTTGTGGATCCCAACTAGGACTACTCTTGCCCTTCAGCCAAGGAACCCCTTCTAGCTTTCCATGCTTTGGCTTGAGATGATGCCCTTGGGAACTCAGATGTCAGGACAGCCTGGGAGAAGTGGAGCCAAAGCAGAGGATGATCACACTAGGAGTGCTGAAGGTTGAGGACCGAGTTCCGGGCCTCCTGTGATAGGTTACTGGGTGAAGAATCCAAACTTCCCGGAGTTTTTGGAGAAAGTATATAAGGTGGGAGAAGACAGCAATCTTCCTCCCAGACTTCAGACTAGACTGCTTCTGAAAACAAAGAAGGTGCAGGACTTACCGGTTATGGAAGGAACCAGAGTGGTCAGCCAGAACCACACCAGAAATGTTTCGAGCCCGAAGAAATCGTTGTAAAGATGATGGTGGAAGGGCCTGTGAGTGATTCTGTCTCCTGAGGACAACTTCAGGGATACCAGCACCACTCTTCTCCAGAGTGACCAGAAGGTCCTCCACCTGAGGAAGCAACAGAAGCAGACTGCTGGGAGCGGGGAGGGGAAGTGGGAGGGCTCTCTCAGCCTGTGCCCTCCTAGATATGGTCTTCAAACACTCTGGAATCAAGACTCTGAACTTCCTACAGTTCCCTTGGTTCTTTCTACAGTTGGGTAATTAGAGCACAGAGAGACGTCGTTACTTTTACATTTATAGGTACGTTCTATCCTTGGGACTCTGCCTTATCCTCAGTGGATGTTTCACATATCATTTGTCGTGCAGAAGTGGAGGGAGCCAATCCACAACAGAATGACAAATATGTAATTCTCTAGGTGCTACAGGAGCTCAAGAGCAGGGGTGACAGCAAAGGCTGCTTCAGTGGCAACAAGGCACTCGGCAGGGAGTAGGAGCCACAAATAAGCATGAAGGAAGAGTACGGCAGGGGCAAGAGGCAAGGCTCAGGGGTTATGAGAGCACTTGTTGCTTTTGCAGAGGACCCAGGTTTGGTCCTCAGTACCAAGATTGTGGTTCATAACCACGTGTAATTCCAGCCCTAAGGGCTTTGCCCCTCTTCTGACCTCCTTGGGCACAAACACACACATGGTGCATATATATGCAGGCAAATACTCATATATATAAAATAAATCCATGTCCAATTCCCAATATGGGCAGGAGCCTGACGCAGACAGGACTCTGGCCAGCAGCTTTGACAACTGGGTCCATGAGACAGCAAGAGTAGAACAGAAGGATCAAGTCACACTAGGCAGTGGTGGCTCACACCTTTAATCCCAGCACTTGGGAGGCAGACGCAGACAAATCTGAGTTTGAGGGCAGCCTGGTCTACAAAGTGAGTTTTAGGACAGCTAGCCAGGGCTACACAGAGAAACCCTGTCTTGAAAAACAAACAAAAACAAAAATAGAAACAAAAAAGAAAACAGGAAAAGAAAAAAGGAAAAGCAAAAAAAAAAAAAAAAAAACCAAAAGGAGCAGTCACTCACCTGTCAGCAGTGACAGTATTTAGGTGCTGAATGGTCAGAGAGAACTACCTATTCCAGGGAACCAATGAGATACCACTGTGTTTATGATGCTTTTCACAAAGCAGTGGTGTTCATCTTTAGCCAACAGTGAATTTTATCCTTTCTGTGATCTGTTGGGTTACCTGGTTCTTCACAGATTCATTTTTCTGAGACATGGGATCTGTATGCATCCAGAGATCTAGTGAAGTTCTTAAGGCCACCTGGGAAGGATGAAGAGCAACATGTCTGATCTGCCTCCTGTTGTGACCCACGTCTAGGAGACAGGCATCAGGGTAGCTGTAGAGCAGGGTGCTTAAGTGCAAGAAAGAGGTGGAGGGTAGAGGCTCACACCTGTCCCAGTTCCACAAATGAGTCAATGTTCTCTAGCCGCACAGGAAACTTGCCGTTCTCCATGTCATAGACCATCCTTGAGCTGCCAATGTAGTCAAAAGTTTCCTGAGGGGCCGAGATAAGAGAGATTCCCAAGGGATAGGGCAGTCTGAGGTCAACAAAGTGGGTTGCTTTCTTGGGTCATCTCAGCTGATAGTCATCTTACAGCCATGTGATCTACCACTCCCCAATATCTTCCCAGCTGTCTCTCACATGTATGCATCATGGGATTTTTTTTGAGCCTGGAGGTGAGGAAAGCAGCCTTTGTAAAGGCTCAAAGCAAACACGAGCAGTTACACAGTTGCTTCTTGATTCTCCTCTGTCTCCACAGCTCTGGCTGCTATTATCTTACACATGAGCTAGGCTGTAACACCACAGGAATTGGGACACTAAACATGAAGGGAAACCTCAAATAGATTTTGTTAATGGGAGGAGGGTACACACCAATTCAGGAAATATAAGCTCCCTAAAACAGAGGATTCCCAAGGGGAAACAGAAAGATACATGCAAAAACTCTGAGTAACAGCTCAGGTCAATAATTCCTCTCCCACCATTATCATCCCCTTCTTCCTTGCCATCTTGCCCTAGGGAAAAAGCCCTTACCCCCTGGAAGAAGACAAACATCACATTTCGGGGTAGGGTGGTGATATCTGGTGCCTTGTGCAAAGCTTCAGCTGCAGCCAGCTGAGATACAAAGGAGGCTACAGCACTTTCTGCTCCTGGGGCCACATTCCAGAAAAAGGACCGGCTATCTAGCTGGAATAGCAGAAGACGAGTTAGGGTGGTGTACTTTAAAGCTGGATCACTGAGCCAAGCCAAAATCCTTCTCTTTGGAGCAAGTATTAGAGTCACAGAGTCCAACAGCCCAACTCCCTCTCCATTTAAGGCTCCCCAATGTGATCACTCTGAAATTGATCCATCTAAAGAGCCCTGCCCATGCTGCACAGGGGCAACACTCACCCGGGTGGCAGCAACCACAACCCTGTCATCAGGTTCTAATGCCCCAGATGTATTTATAGGCTTCAGCATGCTCCATACGTTGTAGTCGGATAAGGGGTCACAGACGATTTCTAAGTAGGACACAAACAATGAGAGATCATAGCACTAAGGGAGAGGGTAGTGTAGAGAAGGCCTTCAAGACCGTTTGGACCCAGTCCTCATAAACTTCAAAGAGTTTCTCCACCTTCAACAGCTCTAGCTCTGGCTCCCTGCCAACATCCACTTCAGGTGCAGGCTGCCTCTGCTCAAGGTTCTCCCATCCAATGCTTGCTGCCTGCCCGGGCCCATTCTTCCCTGGATGATCTCACCAAGCTCCCGGGCTGGGTCCACCTCCTTCACCACAGTCCACCTGCACAGGCATGGCTCGGCCTACCTGGGTTGATGCTGAAGGTGCTCTGGATGAAGCTGCGTCGCATGCAGGTGGCAGTGCTGATGACGGCATGCATGTGTGAGAAGAGCTGCATAGCACACAATGGGAAGCTTGGTGCAGAGCCGTTCAGACCCAGGTTGTGATCTTGATAGCACTGGAGAGGAGATGGACCCCACTGAGACAGCTAGCTGTGGAGGTCCTCTCTCGCTTTCCAGGAAGAGGAAGGCCCAGCTCCATTCTTAGGCCACTCCCTTTTGGGAGACATAAGTCCCCAAGCTACAGGTGTCCTGGGATAACCATATGAGGTCAAAGAGAAAAATTCCTCAATCAGTACAAATAGCATAGACTCAACAACAGATTGGCTGGAGCAGATGAACTTATCCAATTCTAACTTGAGTGGTCCAAGCTTCAGTCACCACGGGGTCTTGCTACACAGTTTACAAAAGCCTCAAACACATAATCCTCTTTTAGCTTCCCAAGCATTGACAGTACAGGTGTGTGCTACTGTGCCTGGCTTCAGTCACTGTTCAGAATGACCTGAAATAAGGAGCACTGGCTAGAAATAAAGAATAAAAATTCACAACAGCTTGATCATCAACTCATTTTGTCGTTCTAATTGTCATTCTAAAGACAAATCTCTTAGCTTCTCTTAACTTATCTTAAAATGAAGACACTAGACTAGACAGAACCAGGACATATTATCTGGCTGGGGGAAGGTGGCATATGCCTTCAATCCCAGCACTAGGCAAAGCAGAGGCAGGTGGATCTCTATAATAAGTTTGAGGCCAGCCTGGTCTACAGAGTGAGTTCCAGGGCAGCCAGGACTGTTTCACAGAGAAACCCAGTCTCAAAAAAACAAAACAAAAAAAGAAAAAAGACGACTTGAGATAAGAGTGTTTGCTGTGCAAATGTGAAGAGTTATGTTCCAATCTTAGCACCCATGTAAAAAGCTGGACATGGCTGAGCATGTACCTGTAACCCCAGTGACGCTGGGAGAAAAGACATGAGGACTGCAGGGGTTGCCGGCTGCCAGCCTAGGTTTAGGTTTCCTGTCTCAAGGGAGTAAGGTGGAGAGTGATAGAACAGGACATCACATGTCCTCCTCTGACCTTTACATTATATACTCATGTACGCACACGTACACACATACTATGAGAGAGAGAGAACCTCAGGGACTTACTGAACTCAAATCTCTCAAATCCTAGTTCAATGCTCCCTGTTTATGTTTTGTTCTTTATTAGACAAGGTCTTACTGCATTGGCCAGGCTGGCCTATCTTGCCTGTGCCTGGGATTAAGCATGAGGCATCATGCCTGGTCCAGTGTTCTTTTTATGTGGCTCTTTTTTGGTTTTGGTTTATTCTGAGGCAGTGTTTCTCCGTGTAGTCCTGGCTATCCTGGAACTCCCTCTGTAGACCAGGCTGGCCTTGAACTCAAGAGAGCTGCTTGCCTCTGCCTCCTGAGTGCTGGGATTAAAGGCTTGCACCACCACCTCCCAGCTCATTGACAGCTTTTTATCTGGTTCTTAATCATGGCTGAACACCTTGCTTCATATTTCTGTCCATCTAAAAGCGTTCATTGCTATAATACCAGACAGGAAAGAAATGATAGAGGGAAATGTCAAGACACTAGACACTAAACTTTTTAATTCTTGTTCTGTTTGTGAGACGGGAATTTACTATGTAGCCCTGGTTGGTCTGGAACTCCCTATGTATCTGCCTCCTGAGTGCTGGGACTCGGGTGCCATCACATTTGATCAAACTCCTCAGTGGTTTTGAGGCACCATCTTTCAAAGTGTACACTAGCAGAACAAGCCTCCCTGCCAACAGGACAGGAACATGAAAATAATCCTCTTTCTCACTGGGACTGCCAGAAGCTGGCAGAGTCAGTACCTGCTTGATGACCTTGGTCTCATTCTCATCTTCAAGAAGAAAGATGGGAAAACTAAAGTCTTCATAAGCCAAGCCATTGCCCAGTTCATTCCACAATGTTTGTTTGCAGTGAGCAAACTCTGAGCCGTAGGAATTGGAGTAAATACCTGAAGGAAGGAAGCAGACAGGGCTGTAGGGAACAGTTTATTGAGGTACCAAGTATTTAGGGACCAGAAGTATGAAGGTTAGGATACCATAAGGTGGGGGCTAAGAGTACAAAAAGAAGCAATGACTCTAAGAGGCAGTCATGAATCTATTACCAGTTCCACTAGAATAGACACTAGTATAGGGAACCCTAGACTGGCAGATTAGTTATCTGAGCACATGACAAGAAGGAAGGATGGAAGAGGAGGAGGGAAAGAAGATGAAGTGGGATGGGGGTACAGCGGGGAAAGGGGACAACTCAGTTGTACCCACACAGAACTATGGCCCCTACCCCTGAAACCTAACATGGGTGCAACAATGAGCTTTGTACAACAGAAGGGTCTCATGATCTTTTTGAGGCTCTTACCAAACCCATCATTTGGGCACTGCACACTAGGAGAGAAGCTTGAAGTGGAGTTGGGCTTGGCTAGAGTCACTGCAAGACCAGCGATTCTGCTTGTCCTCCCCTTCAGCTTTTCCATCACATCCCTACAACAGAGAAGAAAGGACAAGAGAGAGACAGGAAGGCATCAGACATATTGGTACCCAGGATGGAAACAACTGGAGAGTTAGGAACTCAGAACTACCAACTCACTTCTCTTCTGAGTCTGGACTAAGAACTACCCTGAGTTCAGGGTTTCATCTACCTTGTCCCTAAGTGATTTTGGACATTGCTCCTTCTTCCCTGAAGAAAGTCTAATTTTGAGGGCAATAAGATTATTCCTTTTGATGTATCTTCTCTTTTCTTAAAATAAACCCTGCTTCCTATCCCACAGCAGACTAGAGCAATGCAAGTTTCCATTCATCAGTACAAGGACCAAATCTTTCTTTCTCTCCACACAGTCCCAGAAGACACATACAGTTCTTACCTGATAAAGAGCTTGCCCTCCAGTAGAACCATGTAAGGGGGATTGGGGCCATCTGTCAACACCCACTGCAGGTCCTCTTCTTTCTCCACTACGTGGATAACCCCTGTATCCCCACTAATTGAAGCTGTCAGGACAGAATGGGTCAAATTAAAGCTCCCACAGTTGTTAACTCTGTAGATTTTTTTTTTTTTTTTTTTTTTTTAAAAACAGGATCTCACTATGTAACCCTGGCTGACCTGAACTGACTGTTGACCAGGCTGGCCTTGAATTTGCAGTGATCCTCCTGCCTCTGCTTTCCAAGTGCTGTGATTCAAGGCTACCACATCCAGCTTCTGTAGATCTTTTATCTCTAAAGATGTCACAAAATATTAGGATAAACACCGCCACTTCTAGAACTTGAAGAGCTGAACTACCCCAGCTCCATTTGAATGAGGAAACGGAGAACAGAAGCCCAAGAGGACTCATTAGAAAGTTTTCTGATTTTTTTTTTTTTTTTTTTTAAGTTTGAACTTGGGTCATTAGGATTGTATAGCAAGCACTTTTACCCTTTGAGTCATCTTGCTGGCCTTTACAACCCTTTTTATTAGATGCTGGAAAGGCTCTGCAATTTTCAGGCTTTGGAAAAGCAGCCAGTGTTCTTAACCGCTGTGCCATCTCTCCAGCCCTTTTTTAGCCCAACTCTAACAACCCCACTTAACTATATACCAAGATTCTAGAATACTAGACATCCATGTTTCAAAATCTGAATTTTCCACCAGAAAATGCCAGACTCTCCATTTCCAATTAGACTTCTAGCTTTGATCTTGCTTTGAAAGGACATAGATTCTGTGGCCTTGTAGATTCTGTGGCCTCGACAGTCTTTTCAGGTTGCCGTCCTCCAGCCTCCTTTGGGAATGCCTTTAATTGCTCCTGGCCAGTTTTAGGTGATTTTAACCTAGAGCTCCGAGCTCTCTAGAGCAGAGCTTCCCAAATGACAGGCCTGGAATGGATTGAAGACATGCTGAAACTCACTGACTCCTTCCTGGGAATCTAGGATTTCAAAAGACCCTCAGTTGCCCAAATACAAGAGTAGACTCCTCATTTACCCAGGATGACCTATGAATAATACCCACTTTTATATGTAAAAGGATGCCAACTCCAGTATTTCTATGAATCTCAAGATGTGACAAAGACTGGGAAGTACTGTTTCAGAGGATGGACGGTCCACAGTCCAGGATGTCTAGAACCTGACATGATATCCTGAGTCTCTAGAGGTTCATTTGGTGACATCTTAGAGGAGACTGGATGTGCTATTCAAGAGTTACTTTAGACCCAGTCAGAGGCCTCATGGACAGTACACACACTACCAATGAGCTGTACCCCCAGGTCCTGGAATTTTAGGAAAGATAAGTGTTTGGGCTTTCTCTCAGTGGGGCTGAGACATAAGCATTTTCTAAAATTCTTGGCTATACATGGTCAGACATAAGAACTACACTTTTAGACCCAGCACTGAAATACTTGCAACTGGCAGACTGAAAACAATCAAGTACTTCCCAATTGATAACCAAACTGAACTCTTGTTCTGGGACATCTACTAAAAAGTAAATATGGTGGAAGGGTCTACAACATTTTGCCTATGGCTTCTATTTAGTAAATCCGTAGCAGGATGGTTTCCATGACAATAATAAAACATGGAAGAACAGTAGAGTCAGAGACAGCTTTAGTCAAGACCCAGACATGAAGAAAGGTTTTAAGTAAAACAGCAGAAAGAATATACTACTTGCAGAAGCTCTTAAAATATGAGGAGAAGAAACGCTAGTGTAGTAAATTAAGAATAAATAAATAAAGGTAACCAGCTCTTATGGGGCCAGGGAAGAGACAAACTGAGATTCTGGACTCAAGAATCTGTACTTCAATCCGGGTCCTAACTGGTGGTTGCATAGTTTTAAGCAACGTGTTTGCTTTCTCCAGAGCTTTAGTAAGGAACAATTTTCTTATCCCTATTCATCTTCTACAGTGGGGATGGAGGGAAAACAAAGTTACATGTAGCTCTCTTTGAGCACTTTAAGGATCCAACAGAAGTAGGTCAAAGTAATCATAACATCAAATCTGGAGCTCAAATGTACTCCTCAGTCATTATGCTCCCAACCCTAATTAAAAAGGGTGTTGGCTGTGAAGGAATGGACAGATGTGATAAAACAAGACTCAGAAACAAGCAGGTTGAAAAGGAAACAAGATCTTAATGAGGAAATGGCCAGAGTTCGACCCCTCCCTCTTCTCTCCACACTGGCTATGGCTTTATCTCCAGAGGCTACTGCTTTGCTTCCCATAGGGCTCCAGAAAAAACATGTAATGTAATGACTCATCTCCAAAGGAGTTTTCAGAGCCCAGCTTCAGAAGGAAGGAGTTCAGCAGTCTGATCTCAGCTACCCAGGATCTAGTTCTCCTTCATCCACAACTCAGATAAGAAACTAAATCCAACAAAAACCTTAAGGCTGTCTATAACCAATGAATCCACTTGCAGTGTTTCCTGTGTGGGGGATTTGGGACAATTTGCTTGTAGTACAGCTCATGGAAGTATACGTAGAAAAGTATTAACTACTTCCCTGAGTAAATTCCTTACATTCCAGTAACTGAGTTTCTTTTCACCAAGACAGATGGTTTCTGGCAATCATGCAATACTGTTTGATACTTTATTCCACATCAACAACAGCCATTTATTTAAAAAGTGTTTGAAACAGGAAATAGAGGACCATGCCTACAATGTCAGCATTAGGAAGCCTGAGGCAAGAAGGTCACAAATTCAAGACCAGTCTGGGTTATATAATGAGATCCTGTCTTAAAAAACATAAAAGGGGGGGGGGAGGAGAAAAGGTACTTTGACGTTCAGCTTTGCATATCACTATTTCAGCCACTATTAAAAGAATAAACTAAAATTCAGAAGTTATTAATTTGATGATAAAGCCAAGATCAGGCCCTGTTTATCTTCAAAATGATATCCTGACAGGGCTACTGTTCTTGGAAGACTAAATCTGATGATAATAGATAGCTTAAACAGAAAACAAGCTGTGGTTTTTATTTATTTTTAATATGTGTAGTACCCAGAGATTGAATTCAGGGCCTTGTGCATACTAGGCAAGTGCTCTACACTGAGCTACACTTCCAGCAATTTATACAGTGTTAAGAATGACAGTGTTGTCATGGTATTCTGCTTTGGAACACATTTACAAAGCACAAGGATAAGTCCAAATACTTCACTTATTACTCTTACGACTATTTACTTGATGGATGGGATAGGCAATAGGTTCTCTAGCTCAGACTGGCTTTAGCAACCGACCTTCTGAGTGTTGTGATCACAGCAGTGTCACTATATATAATTTACATGATGCTAGGGACTAAAGCCAGGACTTTGGATTTGCTAGGAAAACACTCTATTGACTACTTACACCCCACCCCAGTGCTTATCTGGCATTTGTGTGTATATTCCTAAGTGCAGATGCTATCTGTCTTGTCTTCTCTTGTGTGAGAGGGGATCTCTGTGTTGTTTTTCTGCTGTACACACAGACTACCTGGCCTGTGAGTTTCCATGTAATCTTCTGTCTCTGCATCTAGTCTCTCTATAGGAGTGCTGGGATTATAAGCATTCACATTATGACTCTTAAGTTTTTGTTTTTTTAATGTGGGTTCTAGAGATTCAAATTCAGATTGTCATGCATACCCAAAAGCTTTTTTTTTAAACCCACTGAGCCATGCCCCAGCCCTTAGTTGTCATTAAAATAAATATTTCTAAAAAAACATTTATATGTATGAGTGTTTTGCCTGCATGAATGTATGTGCTCAGTGCCAGCAGAGGTTGCAAGCATCACCAGATCTCCTGGAACAGAAGTAATGGATAGTTCAGAGCCACCATGTGAGTACTGGGAACCAAAAGTCAGCGCTCAGTAAGAGCAACAAGTGCTCTTAATCACTGAACCATCTCCAAAGCTCCCTGCTTAGCATTTTCAATGCCTTTTCTTCAACTAGTTTACTGCCCTTGAAGAAGCTGATTTGGGGGATGAGGGCTTCGGGATACTAGCGTGAAGGTAGGGATTCAATCAACAGCATTACAAAATAACAACAGAAAGCTTAGATAAAGAGTGCTACATGTTTACAGTCCCAGAACTCATGGGAAGGCTAAAGCCAGACTAGGGTACACAGCAAGGTTCTGCTCAAATGAAAAAACAAACAAACAAAGATCACTCAGAGTGCCAGAGTGATGATCAGATTCCACAGACTATGGGATTTCTTTTTCCTTAGACAACTGTACGGTAGGAGAGTTAAGAGTCCCACCAGGATTCAGATCCTACCGTGATTTCTTACTATCATGATGATGCTGGGGAATTGAAGCAATTCTCTAAGTTTTAGTCCCACAACGTTAATAATAAGGATTATTGCAGAAGTAAAAGTAAAATGCACATATTAAAACAGCATTTACTAAATTTTAGCTCGTATTAATTATCTTGCCTGGTTTGACAGATGATAATCACCTCCTGTACACACACTTTAATTTGAATGCCAAGATTCATAAGCAGGACATGAGTATTTCTGAGTATCCAGGATACATACTGGCCACAAATACAAATCCCAATTTCAACTTACACTGGCAGCCAATCTGATGAGTGGCATTGAGCAGGCGGACACAAGGAGCTGTTTTATTTAAGGGGATGTAGATTTTCCTCTCCACTGAGTTTGCCACACACAATCCTGACCAGAAGATAAACAGTATTAGGGAAAAATCAAAGGTATTTGGTATTAGCCTCTATCATCATTAGCTTGACTAATGGTTGAGGTAAAGTGTTCACTATCACATTGTCTACCATGGGATAAATGATCATTGTTTTCACTTCTCTGGTCATATTATTGGGACATAAGTATTGTATAAGAGTACTTAGCTATGTATCTTAGGAAATTATTAAACCCCATGCAAATCAATTAACAATAAAGCTAAAATATAATTTGTCAAAGGAAAAACTTTGATATGTCAGCCATCTAGTTGCATGGGCAAACACTTCTGCTTTTCTGTCTTGTATGTATATTACTAATTAGTTACCAAAATCCCTCTGGTCTAAGAATATAGACTATCAAAACCAAACAAAGAAAAACATTCAACAACAAAACCCAGCTAGGAATCTGAACAGACCTAGGAGAAACCTTATGCCACACACCTGTTAGGTTAATCAAACACCAGATCATTTGTGTGCAAACCCAGAATGTGTGGCAGCTACAGTTTCTTCCTTGAAGACAGTCAAAAAACAATGTGAAGCAGGGGGAGATATAGTCATGGGTACAAACAGAAATGTTTGCATTTTTGCAAAATCACTAAATAAATATTAGAATGAAAATATTCATCTATACTAAACGTCTAAAATTCCTTGAATCATTACTTCCCTATTAACAGTTTAAAGCGGCCATGCCCACATAGCCTCACTTTAGAAAGAAAATAAGGAACACACATTTAGTGTAGAACCACCGACAGGAGGAAATGAGGTCTCTCAGGTTTTTTTTTCCAGTGTTGCAAAAGCGCCCACAAAACAAGACTTTTGATCCCCAAAATACTAAACCAGAGGAAGGAGGCTGAGTTTTTTTTACACCTGTTCCTTTTGATTGTGGGTGGGGTGGCTGGGGCTTTAAAGAAAACGAGGCATGTGAATAAGGAAGAGAATCAGGTTGGAAACGCAAAAAGGGGTTGGAGAGAACTAAGCGATACGACGTGCCTCGGGAGATAAGAAATGAACGTCCAGGCAAAGGGGGAACTTATGTCATGGGAACGAAAGACAAGAAGGGTTTACAGGGCGGGGGAATAGAGGGGCAATAGGAACCAGAAAGGCAACAACGCCTGCACTTGCGATGGGCCGATCCGGACGGTTCTCCTTATAGAGCGGAGCCCCGGGGTGGGGTGGCCTCACCTGCCAGCATCACTGAAAAAGACAGAAGGAGAAGGAGACCCCGACTTCCTGGGTCAGGCCCAGTGCCGCCCCAAGTCGTAGCCATCTTGCCTCTCGGCTGAGCGGAAGCCTCGGGTCCCTTCCAGCCTCGTATCCGCCTCTCTAGGCTCCCGCAGGCACTGTCTCTATGGCCCAGCACTCGAGACCGGAAGTTAGTGTCTGAGGAGCTTCCGGGAGCCACGACCTCGGGTAGCTGACGTGGAGACTTTAGGAAGGCAACCGGGAGCGGCGGGACCGGTAATCGGACCTGGGAGCCCGAGGCCTGAAGGATGCTAACCAAATTCGAGACCAAGAGCGCGCGGGTCAAAGGTAGTGAAGAAAAAGAGGGGGCAACGGAGGTTGGATGTTGGGGGCGGTGCTGTCACCAAGGAAGAGAGAATGGGCGGGCTCGCTGACCGACTTGGGCCCACTTGAACCCAGAGGACTAGCCGAGGGAGGCGGGTTAGGGCTAGTGCAGTCTCCGCAGGCTGCGCTTCGTAGTGAGTTCCGGGACTTGATTTACTCGTGAAATGGTTCCTGCGTTGTAGGAGATTCCCAGGCCCGCTCCCTGTTTCCATCCACCTCTTCTGAGGGTTGTGCTCCGGCTTCTGTTCTTTCTCTTCTTAAGGCCTTGTGACTTTTATGCTCTTTTGATGACCATGTTCAATGGAGTACCTCTGGGGGTGGGTTCTCAGCCTCTGTCACTGTAGCCCTTTTGGAGTCAGCCACCGGCTACTCCATTAGCCTATCTCAATGTCCAGTGCTTCCGTTGGATTTTATTGCCTACAGTCCCATATAATTCAGAAACTGCTAAGACTGTGCGATGAAATACAAGATGCTTTGTATTAATAGGTTTGAATATCAGATAAACTATTTTTTTGGTAATAAATTTTGAAGAACGGAGGCCTGAGAGATCATACATACTCTTTCATAATGTTGAAATTAGGAAAACAGAGAATGAAGTCTACGGAAATCCAGTTAAAAATATATCTGGAATACTTCCTAAAATGCGTTATAGTGAAGTGGTTTGAAATTTGTCTTTTGGAGTCACGTGAACTTGCTGAGGAATTCTGAAGCATCCACTAATAAGCTATAAGACCTTAGGCAGTATATTTACCATCTCTCAATCTGTGCGTTCTTATTTTTAAAACTAAGGGTAATTAACATTCTTTTATAAAGAGAATTAGAATGTGAAAGTATATTAAATATGCTTATAAAATTCCTGTCCAGACTCGGTAACTCAAAAACTGGAAGCTATTTAATGTGAGGCTATATTCTTAGCAGTTTCTTAGTCTCATGGGAATTTTGGTCATGAAGGGTGCCATTGAGAATTCCTACTACCACCATGACAGATGCAGGTGGATCTCTGAGAGTTAGAGGCCAGCATGGTCTACACAGTGAGCTCCAGGCCAGTCAAAGCTACATAGTGAAGCATTATTAAAAAAAAAGGGGGGGGCTGGAGGGAAATGGATTTATTAACAAGATTTACTGCTCCTTCTTTTTTCTTTTTTCTTTTTTTTTCCGAGATAGGGTTTCTCTGTGTAGCATTGGCTGTCCTGGAACTCGCTCTGTAGACCAGGCTGTCCTGGAACTCACAGAAGTCTGACTGCCTCTGCCTCTGCCTCCTGAGTGCTGGGATGTGCCACTGTCACCACCACCACCACCACCCAGCTGATTTACTGCTCTTTGCAGAGGATTTGAGTTTGGTTCCCAGTTCCCATGTTTGACAGCTCACAACCACCTCTATGTAAATTCAGCTCCAGATGATCTTATCCTGTCTTCTGGGCTCTGTGGGCACCTGAACTTACATATGCCCAAACATAATTTAAAAACAAAACCAGTTTCTGAGTTTGAAATGAGTCTTCATTTCCTGTTCTTTTCATATGTCTTCTTGGTCAATAGAAAGTCATAGAGGGGATCAGTAGTCAGAGTTCATAAAAAGTGCTGAATCAGGGTTAAAAGTACATGCAATTCATACAGAATTTGGTTCCCATCATCCATGTCATGTTACAACTGCCTATCACTCCAGCTATATGGGATTCAGTGCCCTTTTCTGTCCCCCTTCAAGGGACCTGTACTAACGTGCACATAACCCACACACAAATACACATAATTAAAAATTTAAAAAAATTTAAGTGCTAAGTTGGACACTGTGGTTTGTGTCTGTAAATCCCAGTACATGAGATGCTGAAGCAAGAGAATTGCTGTGAATTGGAGGCTACATGGTAAGACCTGTCCAAAAGAAAACAAAAAGGTGTTAACAGTATATCATAAAAATAAAAGAAACACTGTGCCGTCATAAACTTGCTGATATTCATACAGTGTCTTTACAACCAAGCAATAGCTACCAGTGTTGGATGTGGTGGCTCTCACCTGTAATCCTAGCACACGGGAAGCTAAGGCAAGAGGGTTGCTGCAAGTCTGAGACCAGCCTAAACTACAAAGTGAGACCATGTTTTTAAAAACTCAAACATTAGCCAGCTAGTGAAGGTGCATGCCTTTAGTCCCAGCACTGTGGAGGCAGAGGCAGGTGAATCTCTGTGAGTTCCAGGACAGCCTGGTCTACAGAGCTAGTTCCAGGATAGGCTCCAAAGTTACAGAGAGAAACCCTGTCTCAGAAACAAACAAACAAACAAACAAACAAAAAAAAACCCCAAAAACAAAAAATTGCTGGTTGTGGTGGCACAGAAGCAGGCAGATCTCAGAGTTGGTGGCAAGCCTAGTCTATATAGAGAGGTTTAAGACAGCCAGGGCTACACAAAGAAACCTTAGCTCTAAAAAACAAAAACATCAAAACCCCAAACATTTACCAAGACATTAAATGTACATGTTCCAAACCAGTGAGATGGCTCAGTAGGTAAAGGTGCCTGTCACCAAGCCTTGATCCCCATGATCCATATGGAAGGAGAGAGCTGATTGCCACACACATATATCATGGCATGTGTGCATATGTATACAAACACATTATACACTCACAAATGAATGAAATACAAACTTTTTAATGTACATGCTCTATTTTATAGTCCATTTTCAAGACTTTAACCTAAAGATATTTTTTAAATTTTTGTTTTGTTTTTGAGACAAGGTTTCTCTGTATAATGACCCTGGCTGTCCTAGAATTCACTGTGTAGACCAGGCTGGCCTTTAACTCTCCTGCCTCTGCCACCTCTGCCTCTGCTCCACCTCCTGAGTCCTGGGAATAAAGGTGTGTACCACCACTGCCCGGCTTCAGCAGTGGTGATAACCAGAAACTATAGTTGAAATTGAAATGTTTTCTAAGAATAAGATAGTTTGCTTGCTTGTTTGTATTTGGGTTTCTTTTTTTTTTTTCCTGACAATTGTCTCCCTATATAGCCCATGTGGGCCTCAGCCTCTCAGATGCCAGGATTACTGGTGTGTGACACCATGCTCCACTTGTGAGTTTGTGTGTGTTTGTGTGTATGTGACTAAACTCAGCACTAGGCAAGCCACCCCTCTACCACTGAACTAAATATCCCAACTCCAAAATAGCTTAAAATGTGATAGACTAGTGCGATGACTCAGTGGTTAAAGTTCTTACCACCAAGCCTGATGACCTAAGTGCAGTCCTCAGGGCCGTATGGTAGGAAGGAATTGACAACTGCAAGGTTCTCTTTTTTGTTTCTGATTTTTTGTTTGTTTGTTTTTACCATGTCTTTATATATATAGCCAACATTGTCCTCAGGCTTCAACACATGCACTCTGGTACATGTGTACCCATATAAAAACACATGCTCATATACATAGTAAATAACTAAATAAATGTAATTGAACATTTTAAGTTTGGTGCCTTTGCTCCTTATAGTTGTAAAAAAGAATGAGTTTCCATTAATTGAAGTGTAAAAAGATTTATATCATATATTTAAGTGAAAAAGGTTTGCAAAAGAGCATCTTAAGATACCATGTCCATAAAATAGTGTAGCTGTATTAAAAACCTGGACACACTTCAAACTAACAGTTTGTTCTTCCAGTTTGTCCTTTTATTGTCCTGATGGAGTAACAAGGACTAGATTTGTTTTCCTGCCTTAAAACGCTAAACAACTAAACCAAACTACAAAGGAAGGTTTTAGACAGTGTTCAGTGAAGAGTTCAGCATTCAGGAAATTATTTCTTGAGGGAAGGGAAATAAACAGGGCAAGTCCTATGTTTGTTTCCATTAGTGCTTGGAGAGAGATTCCAGGCTGTAATGAAGGAAGAGAGAAGAACCCTGTGGTCTAGCTGAGGAACAAGAGTTCAGCATTTGGGACAGCAAAGATAGCTAAAATATGCTTGGGAAATACCAGAAAAGGAGACCATTGGACTTCTGAATGGGTTCCCTGGGTCCCTGTTAGAGTGTCGACAGGTACATACATGTGAGAAAAATATCCAAGATTTAGAAAAGAACCACCAAGAGGCAGTTGTGGGGCTGGAGTGATGGCTCAGTGGTTAAGAACCCTTGCTGTTCTTGCAGAGGAGCTGGGTTCGATTCTCAGCACCCACATGGTGGCTCATGACCATTTGTAACTCCAGTTCCAGAGGATCTGATGCCCTCTTCTGACCTCCACAGGCAACAGGCATGCATGTCATGCACATAGACACATATAGGCAAAATATTCATACACATAAAAATGTATTAAGAAATTAAGTTATAGTTATGGTATTTGCACATATCTATGATCCCAGCACTAGGAAGCTGATGTGGGATGATTGTGATTTGGAGACCAGCCTAGATGTAAAAGTGAGGTCTGTTTTAAAAAAGAGAAGAAAAATAATTAAGGTAGCTCAGTGGTTAAGAGCACTTATCTTCAGAGTACACAAGTTCAGTTCCCAGAATCCATGCCAGGAGCTCACAAACACCTGTAACTCCAGTTTTAGAGGATCCAACACATCTGTCTTATACACAGACCCATAGCTCACAAAATTAAAAATAGTACAAAAATCTTTTTGTTTGTTTCTTTGTTTTTGTTTTTCGAGACAAGAGTTTCTTTGTGTAACAGTCCTGGCTGTCCTAGAACTAGCTCCGTATACCTCGAACTCACAGAGATCTGCCTGCTTCTGCCTCTTTAGTGCTGGGATTAAAGGCATACACTACCACCTCCTGGCACAAAGCAAATCTTAATAATTTTTAAATAAAGAATGGAAAGTTATCCCCGGAGC